TATAGAACATCATATAAGTTTACTAGAATGGTACATATAGAACATCATACAAGTTTACTAGAATAGTAAATATAGAACATCATATAAGTTTACTAGAATAGTACATATAGAACATCATACAAGTTGGTGTATTTGGATGGTAAAGAGGGAAAAAGACATTAAAGTTGACTTCTTTTCCAACATAGAATTTTTTTATTTTTTTTCATTTAATGATTATGGATTCCTAGATGCAGTTGTGAATAAATATGAAGTGCTTAAGTGAAATTTTTTGTTTTTTTTCATTTAATGGTTATGGATTCCTAGATCCAATTGTGAATAAATATGATGTGCTTATGTGAGGTAGTACCTAAAATGTGATGGTAACATCTCATTAGCTGAATTCAATGATTCAAAAAGCTGACCACCCAATGCCTAGGCTGATGGCAGTCCAGAAGGCCTGGGCGGCCGCCTAGATGATATGGAACCCGCCTAATGACGAGGTGGGAAAGATAAGCCAAAAACAAGAGCTCTGAGTCAAAAGAACGACCATGGGCAAGAGACGAAGTCAGGGATATTGGTGAATATGAGCGGCTACCGGGGAAATTAATTAACATAAGGAAGATGGGGATGCAAGCTATAACGCTTGGAAGCAAGGGGATTCCGGTATGCCAGTACCACTATGTGCGACTGAATCAATGTTGAATTAATGTGATGAGGAGGAATAGAAGTCTAATTAGAGGGTTAGAATGAGGTGGGCACCTGCCCAAGTCGTGCGCGTCACCTAGGTGGGTAGAGAAGCCCTGGAATAAAAAATTTGTATTGATTTTTTTTTAAATAAAAGGTTGTAAGTTCATTTGAAACCTACCTTATTGGAGGCCATTTTTTTGTATTGATTTTTTAAAAAAAATATAAAGGATGTTAAGTTCATTTGAAACCCAACTTATTGGAGCCCATTCTAGAGAGAGAAAACCCCCCAAAAAAAACTAGCTTTTGTTGATTTCTATAGGATTCAAAGGGTTTCTCAAAGTTAAAAAATGATCAAAACATCACCTATTTATATTAGATTTAATTTTTGATGTTTTATAAATCTATTGGGTTTTTTTAGAAGATTTAGAGTGCATGTTTGATGTGAAAGTTTGAAGATTGAACAATCAAACTCAAACTCCCTAAGTACCTAATTTTTATTTTTATATTTTATATATCGTTTTCTTATTCAAATGGCATTTTTTTTTATTCAACTGGGCCGCACACGTTTTGGGCGCCTTGGTAAAGAGGGCTGGGAGGGCTGGAGCCCAAGCCGCCTAGAATCTGGACCCCACGTTCTGGGCGCCCTAGGCGCCCGCTAGACCCCAAGCCAGCTAGAATCCTCTCGGCTCTTGCTTAAAGAGGGCTAGGCGGGCTGGACCACGTTCTGGGTGCCCTGGGCACCCGCTAGACCCGAAGCCACCTAGAATCCTTGACCCCAAGCCACCTAGTATATGCCTAGCGCTTCTTGAAACACTGATTTTCGATGAGTTATGAAATGAGGGTTTACTTATTTTGATAGGGCTAACTATTGTTCATGTATATTAAGATAGTAAAATTTGGGAGGTTAACTCTTCAATCCATATAGAATAACTTTAAATTAAAAAAATCTTAATTACAATCTCTATTCACTTGAAAATAATAACATCTTGTTGAGACAAAACTCAAATTTCAAATTTTTTTCATTTAAGAATAATAATTATCTGGTGATTCTTAGGTTGTTCTCAAAATTTTAGATTAAAAAAAATCCTCTAAAATATGTATTTTGCTAGAGGTGGTAGAAGTAAACCACACTACATAATATATTTATATTTTATGAAGAAGTTATAAAACACGCATATAGCATGTGCCTACAAGTATAGCTTCTGTAGGTTTTAATACATAAGTTTGTAAACAATGGGTTGGGTCTTTATTTCGAAGTCTTTGACTCCATTCTCACCAAAGGTTATGTACAAAATTATAAAGTCTTTGACTCCATTCTCACCAAAGGTTATGTATGAAACTCCAACGCATTATGCCTAGCATGCTCTCATGGGATTATGCCTAGTTAAGCGTCGTCCATGTGCCTAGTTAAGCATGCTCTCATGGACCACGTTATATATTTACTCCATCAAGTTAAGAGATGTTGTTTAAGCATGTTCTCATGGGACTATGCCTTTTCAGTTAAGCATGCTCTCATGGGACCACGTTATATATTTACTCCATAAGAGATGTTGGAATATGATGACATGATCCTGACTTTTTTTTCCATGGTTATATGTATTTTTTATGTTATGTGGCTCCAAAATCTTTTACAAGTGAATAAGTTAAACATGCTTTTATAGGACTGTGTTATATACTTTTTCAATATAATTTATAACCTCAATGAGTGCATGACTCTTAATAGAGCGGAATGACAAATTAGGATTCGTGTAATTGACCCAATTAGTTGGAAAGAGGTTCAAACGATAATTTCATCTTGACAATCCATATGTGAGAAAAAAAAGACAATCCTAGTATGGAATAATATATTTAGACTTCAAACTTAAACAAATCAAATATGTTATTTGGTTTTAAGTAACATGTTTCGTTTTGGAGTCTATTATTTTGAAATATTTGATATGTCAAGTTTACCAATTCCTCGATGATGCGTTGCACTTCAAAACTCCTCTTTCAATCTAGAATTATTTTGGACATGGTGTTAAATAGGTTTTGGAATCTTGCCATATAGAGGTAGAAGGAATGTAAATGCAAGTATCAAATATACATTATTTTTGCAATAAACTTTGCAGTAAATATACCTTTTATCGAAGTTACAAAGGTCTTATGTTGTGTTCCCAATAGCAATTTTGTTTCTTTAAGGAAAATTACTACATTCAATTGCACAATTTCACCAAGTGAGAATATCTATATAAATTAATAATATATGGGTCTTAATTATATACAACCCCCATTTTTTTTTTTTCTTTTTGGGATAATTAAGTGGGGAAGACAAACTCCTACCCATTTTTTTAAAATAGTTTAGGAGTCAGTTTTTTAAAAATATTATGTCTTTTAAAAATATTAGTGAGGCGGTGTCAATGGGAATAAAAACTATAGCAAGGTGGCTAGGGTGTGGAGGTGCTATCACCACGACCCCAGCCCCTACTTCGTTTGATTGAATTTGAAGATGTTCCAAACTCAAAACTTAAACCGAAGTAACTTTTCCTAGTTATCTGAGACCAATTTTGGTCTAATACCCTGGTGAGATTACCAAAGTACCACCAATACATGCAATAAACCGCGAAAATTATTATTTTTTCACTTGTCCAAAACTTATCTAATTAGGCTAATTTTCCTACTAAATTATAGTAGACGTGACATGCTTTCAAATGAGCTAAAAATGTTATATAATCCACGTGGTTATGATAATATTATTGATATGTTAATTATAATGTCCAAAGAAGGAGTGGGCTGTGATGGCAGAAATTGGACGTACGTGGTTACAGCCAAATCCAGGAAAATTTGGGAAGAAATCTTTTGTGATTTATTTTCAATCTTAATAACTAAAATATCGATAGAGAATAGTAGGATTCATCAAATTGCCGCATATGAGAAGATAGATATACAAAAGCAAATATGTTCCTCGAAATCGCACAAAAACCACAAAAGAAACTGGGAGAAAATATAAGACAATAATGTAAGAAAATAAACCAGGAATTATCTAAAAGAAAGAAAGATAACTTACCTGGACTAGGTTGGTTGGCTCAAGACACCCGAAGAATAGAGTTGGGATGCTATTCAGACAATGAGTTGATTTACTCATTTGCTCTCTCTTTCTTGAAGAATTTGTGCCTAGGGTATGTTCTTCCTAAGACTTTGATGCTTTGCATGTTCATCATAAGAGGCTTTTGATTTTGAAATTAGGTATTGACGTTGGTCTTTAGCTTGAAGAGAACTAGGGTTGAATTTTCTAAAGGTTTATAGGTTTCCTAGCTCTAGTGTTTCTCTATGATTCAGGGCTTTTAATTTAAGGGGTATTTTTTTTTTTTAATTTTTAAGGAATTTCTCTAGTTTTTTTATGAAATTATTGAGCCTTCAAAAACCTTAGAAAAATAAGGAAAAAACACTATCAAAATTTTATTAGCTTTTTCCCTCCCACCTTTTGAACTTTTAGATCTAGGTAAAAATACTTTAGATTTGTTGATTCCAGTAAACATAGGCGTCTAAAAGGAAATGGTGGTGCACATCAGAAGAACGGTATGATTCAAGTGCGAATATTCAAGTTCCAAGTTCTCAAAAGTAGTTTCATTTCCTTTTTCAATTTTAATTAATTTTCCTATCTAATTTTTTTTTTTTCTGTATTTGCTGTTATTTTTTTGTTTATAAAGTTTTTAAAGAGTTTTTAATACAAAATACACAGATATGAAAGCTAGTACTGTAAGTAGATTTGTATCATTATTGGGCTTATAAATTGAATGATTATCTCTATCTTTCACAAATTTAACTCAAGTTTTATTAATATTTGAGCATATCTCATCAAGAAATTGGCGGATAAGAGCATAAACACAACCTTACACTTAGATCACATTTGGTGGTAGTCTCATTCAAATACGAGGTAACCTAAGTACATTAACTGTCATTTTCAGATATTTCTATGTTGTACTTCATAAACTTGGGCAGATATTTCTATGTTGTACTTCATAAACTTGGGCAGAACTCTTGATTCGGTGTTTTTTTTTTTTTTTTGTATGTTTAGGGGTTTTCTTAGGGATTATGAGTTCACTAGGCAAGTATGATTACATGTTTTGACGAATTCCCACATCCCGGAAGTGTTTATAGTACAAAGTAGTCAACCTTCATGCGTGATCTACACTGTCCATCACCGTCCAACCCATTAATGGGATGGTGATGATCTCATGTAAATGAGCAATGATTATATTGTACGCCCCCCTTGGCAATCGTACTCGAATCTGGACCGTGGAAAGGATTTCCCGCGCCATTAAACTCGATAGTCCACACCACAAGCTCATCTCCTTGGCCAATTAAGAAGGCATGCTTAGTAGTTCAGACATTCCTTTCCCCATTGCAGTGGAGCTCCATGCCTCGCCTGAAAACCCTAAATGTCGCATTGGAACTCCCATTAAAAACCCTAATTTCTTGCACCTCAAGCTCGAGTTTGCTCTGTAATGGTCAGGTGAAGGTTTGAAAGATTTTCGTGGAGTCAAATGCGTGAGTTTTGATCCTAAAGGGACGAATTGACATGGATCACTGAGTAGAATGCAGAAATGTTGTCCTCCACAAGGTTTGGCGCTGTGTTCTTGCCAAGACGGGCCACTGTTCTTTCGAGTGTTCAGTTTAGTTTTGGGAACTCTGCTGAGGTTTGTGAGCTCGTGTTGTTTCATACTCTCTTATCTGTGGAGAAAATATGGAGCTTCATCTTAGTCTGGATCCATATTTTTCTTGTTTTTTATTTTTTCTAGACGTTTGTGTTGCGTGTGGTATTAAGCAATTTATAACTATACGAACACATTTCAGGCTCATCTTTGAGTCTAAGAGGATTTGCATCCATTCATTCTATATCTCCACTTGCCTGAATATATTTTCTTAATTCTTCAACGTGAAGTTAAGTCATATTTACATGTTTAAGTTCTATTGAGATCGTTATGCTTGTGAAATTGGAATAGGTTTTGCCTTGCTCAACAAATGAATGTGATGAATTCTTGCCATGGTTGGAGAGGAAGGCAGGCATTGAAGTTGCCTTGGTGCTTTCTATAGGAAGTTCAGCTCATGGAAGGTTTCAGCTTGTGATTGAATTCTATGTTTGTATAGTGAAATTCAGATAATTGTATGTTTGTATAGTGAAATTCAGATAATTTGATGGATCAGAATCTCGGGTTGTCGTTAAAGTTACAGTTTTTTAGTTGTCATTTGTGAGTGAGTTTTATCTACAATGTGCAAGTTTTCTCTGCACATTGTTTGTCTAATTGTTCTTTCATACATGTATGAAGATTGTATTAATTTCGAGGGCTTTAAACTGGTAGACACTAGATAGAGAGGCAACTGTTTCGTGGATGGTCTTAGAGGTGCTTGTGATTTCGCAATTTGCTTAGGTCATTGATATGCTCTTTGTAGTGTTTTTCGCTACTTAATTTGTGATGTTCATTGAAACATCTGCATGGTTGGGTAATATTCAATGGCCGAGCGATGCTATTTCTTGATATTTTTATGTTTTTCTTACAAAGGAATGACAATGCATTGCACTTTGGTGGTTTAAAACAATGATTGAAAACTCACCAGAGTCCGAGTTACTTGGACTTGGCTTAGCTTGGATTTGGCTCCTTGCTGAACCGACTACTTGTCCAACTCAAGTTATTTCATGAAATTTAAAATCATAAAAATATGGAATGAATGTATAAGAGTTATGTATGTTATTTGAAATTTTTTTACAAGGAGTTGAGAGTTTTTCTTGTCAAATTTCTGATTATTGTATTTTCCTATATTTTTGGATTTTTCTAACATATATCCCACGGTCCAACCATAGATCAATTTTTTCCAAATCCATGTTATATCTATATCTATATATATATATATATATATATATATTGAGAGAGAGAGAGAGAGGACGGTACCTACCTTACCAACTCATGTTATATATATATA